ATATTCTAATTTTTCGAGTTTCACCTGTATACCCACTCCAGAATCTTCAATAAATTCAGCTGGATGTGGTTCCAGATTATAAGAATGATAAATTATGAAATCTCAAACCCAATATTATAGCTGCAATACTGCAGTTCAAAGAGGATTTTTGAGATAGATCAATATGCATTATTTATGTGGGAAACATATTTGGAGCATGTGGCAAAATTCACACCCTGAATAATAAACCATATTATTTGGCAAGATAGGCAGAAATAGTGTTTTCTTTAGCAAATGTCAGCCTTCTGTTTCTGCAGATCTAAAGTCTCAATTCCAGTAGCTTGACTTTTTGATTTGGTATGCAGAAATGATAACTCAATCAATCAATGAAATCAGTAGGATCTCAAATGAAGGAGAGGTAATTATTTAGGTATTCACTATAGAATCAGGGATAACCAACATCAGGGAGCACAATCAGCCTGATGTCATATTTGTAACCATCAGGCCTCCAAAGCATCCTTTTAATTGCCTTCAATTATGAGGTATCCAACTATGGGATGTTGCCAACAGGAAAAATATTCTAATTCAGAAGATTATCCAAAGGGCTTTTAGTAACGTTTGTTACCTTTTCCACTCATGGTTTTTTAAGCATGAGTTCATACACTGAACAGATACAAAGATATTGGGTCCATATCCAGCATATCCATTGGAAGAGATTGACACTTAATGGCACAGAGTGTATTTGCATTCCGTGCACACTGTAGAACTTAGAAGCCACCCCAGCCACCCCTACCTGAGTTTGGTTGAGCTCAAAAGTTAAAGAGGCTCAAATTATTACATGGAAGGGAGACCATGAGGAAAATCTTTGCTTGTGAAGTAGACTTGGAAGCCACCATTGTTGACAAGCAAAGAACATGGAGGTTGCAGATTCTCCCACTCTCTTCCTCAGAAGGCACTGAGGGCTACAATGGACATTTTATCTATGCAATATTGCCAGTTTTAAAGCAGCTATGCTTCTTATAAGACCATAGTCTTAAAGTGACCTGTGCTGTTTATAGGGCATTTCTAGTCTAGATTTCTTTTAATCAAGTTGAATTCATTCTCTTGCCTTAAATATTTGAAAAACATGCCATTTTAATTAGTTCTCTAAAATTCAGAGGTCCTTGTTGTCTTGTATTCCTCAGTTTAAGACAATATAACGTAAGTGTAATAATTAGATATGAAGATAAAATATATGACAATTTCTACTGAGAAAGAGAGAGAGAGAATATGAAATAAATGAGAATAGAACATGTTGGTTAAAAGGCAAGAAATGAATGCTGTCATTACCACATTAATATAATTTAAGTTTTCCTGTTGTTCATATCTATTTATCACTTTATTTGTCAGATTTATAATGCCCTTTTTGCAAAAGCTCAGTGATATTGTGTGATTGACAGTAGTCTTGAACCTGAGTTTCACATGCAACTTCTGAATCACCACATTTCAGTTGCTTTTCACTGAATTTTACTTATACTAGATAATGTTATTTGTGCAACAGAAAGTTTGCTTTTTGTGTAACACCAATATTCACCCATGTAATATATTCTTTTTAAGCTTCAGCCTTTATGTAGTTATTTCAAATAATTACATTAGAAAAATACAATTTCTTCTGTCAACCAAAAGAAACATTTTTGACAGAATTTATTATGTTTTAATGCAACTGTGAGTATCACTGCAGTGAAAATATCCAGTCCATTGCAATCTTGGAGATAAATTATTTCAAATATTAGCCTCCTGCAGAGATAAAACAAATATGCTCTGGAATATTCATTAATTCTATTCCTTATACACTTTAGAATTATCTTCAAAATTTTTTGATTGACTATAATCTTTTTTGTGGAATGTTCTTGGCTTGGTATTTGAAATAAGAGTATTTTAACCTATCAGTGATATTTAGATTAAAGAGTCATTTTATACTCCCTATTGATTGAATTGTAGTGTTGATTTTTCTATTTAAATAGATTTTTACAACTATTATTTTACAATATATTTTATTTACTCATTTATCTAACACAGCAGCATCCTATCCTTCTCAGGGAAACAACACTGTTAAAAACAAATGCATAACTAAGCATAGCATACAGAAAATAATTGAAAACAAATTAACTAATTGAACATAAAGAAATAGAAAATGGAAATGGAAACTCTCTATAGCTCCTCTTCCACTGTGCTGCAAATTCTCACTTCATCAGGTTGCCATCTTTTATTCTTGACATTTGGCCTAAAGACATTCTTCCCTTTTACCCTTTTGGTGAATTAAAAAATATGGTTATCTGTCCTGTAAAGGACTAAAGTAGGGGTGTCCAACCTTGGCAACTTTTAAGACTTGTGGACATGCATGGCTGGCTGGGGAATTTTAAAAGGTCCACAAGTCTTAAAGTTGCCAAGGTTGGAAAGACTGGACTAGAGGCAATGAACCAGGGGCAGCATTTAAGCAATAGGAGTGGATCTTAACAAATCTAAACAGGATTAGCTCTGATTAGTCCCTAAATGGGAGAAAATCAGCAAATCCAGGTTGCACACTAGGAAAGGATTTGGGTGGAGGGAAGGGAATCATTACAGGCACAACTGGCAAACTATTTCTATACTGTTGCTAAGGAAACTGCAGGGATGCCTTCTTGTAGTCACCTTAGATACAATGAACAATTACCTTTTATATGAACTCCAATTCTCACAAGCATAGCCACTGTATGTAATGGGAGCATAGGACTGCACTGATTTTGCCTCTTATTGATAGATGTAGAAGGTTTGTTCTGCTTTTCCCAATATTGCTAATCACTGTGGCTTGTAGCAATAAACTCCTTTAATTACCATTCTTTTGCCTGTTTAATTCATTGCCTGAATAAATGCATTCTGTTCTTACAGCATTTATGACAAAAGGTTATACCCATCAAATACAAACTTTCTAAATATTGTCTCTACATAATACCTGTTCACTTTCTAACTGTTATGCATGTGCTAATGGGGCAATGCTTCTTGCAGAAAAGGTAGGTAAGAAAATAAAGCTATGATTACCCTACATTCTAAAAGTATATGTATTTTGAAACTTTATTAATAACTTTATTAGGATAAATGAATGAATTTGGCACAGTGGCAGAGAGATATAAATGAATGGTCCTGATATATTAGATTCCATCTTGTGTTTTGGAAAAGCAAAATGACAACTTGATTCTGGTCATTCAGCAAGGCCAAAGGGGAGCACCTTTGGCAGCAGCTCTTTTCAATTTTGATCTATTAGTTCTTAACAAGCAACTAATCCTTATTGCCCATTTCTCAAAGAATGGGTTTTCTCAATATTGTTCCATTTAAATTTAAATTTCATATAATTCAGAGGAGAAACCATTTCTTTCCCTTTTTTGTTCCCCAAGTTATCATCATCAACAGCCTAATTGCAGGCAATCCCATTAGGTATTATGCTTTGCAGTAATGATACACAAATGGAAACAAACAACATGAAATGATCAATAATAATGTAGTTTCAGAATCAATTATAAAACAATTAGTCTAAAGAAATTAATCTTCCCTCACACAACAATGCCCTAATGAACTTTAGCAAACAGCTTCTAGTGGAAACAAAAAACCTCTGAAGAATAGGACTAAAGACATTTCTGTTCAAGGGAATTAATTTAACACAATACCTATGCATAAAAGAACCCTTTTGCTTCCTTAAAAGCACTCATTAATTATTCATTCAGATTTCACATTCTATATCCCATTAGCTTTATATCTGCAAAGTTGTTGATGACCACTTATTAGGGCCAAATAATTAGGGCTTTTATTCTCTATGGCACAATGGAAAAATCATCAATTGCTTTAAAAAAAATTAAGCCAGCATGTGGAAGTAAGCTTAAGCAGTTTTTCCATCTCTCATAGGATGATATTATTCAGTTTTATTCACTGAATCCAGTAGGACTTATTCCACTGATATTCACAGAAGCAGTGAAGCACCAATTCTAACATATACAAACTGAATAATGTAAATAATAATTAATGCCTGATTCTTAAATTTTCTACTTTGAGATCAGGCAACCTATATGCTGCTGAACAATATCTCTAGGAATCATGGCCAATAGTGAAGGATGCTGAAAGTTACACATTTAGCAGCATCTGCAATACAACATCATAAGATGGGGAAATAATAATCTTCCAATTATTACAATAGTTTTGAATGACAATTAACCAACATGGCCCAATGTGAGAGATGCTGGAATTTTGGCACAGAAACACATGTGATATAAAAAGTGATCATACAAATATGCTCAGTATACTTACTTATGGCTTACTTATTACTCATTAATCATCCCACCATACAGTCTGGTTTAAATACTACTTAGGCTAAAATACAGCTGGTTAGCTTATGTTTCAGCTTTATACTCATCCTGAGTTCACTGTGAATTGCTTAGCTAAAAGGGTTATTTCCAATTTTTCATGAGATCTGATAATAATTTCTAATTTTGCCTGGATTGGATATATTCTACCATGCAAAGCAAAATTTAAATAGCAAAAACAAATAACTTGAAAAAGGACTCATCCAGAAGAGCCTGTAATTTTGTATTTATTTTAATAAATGTTTAATTCCTGGTATGAATGAAGGCTTAAGCAGCTAAAATGCTATGAAAGAGAGAGGCTGAATCACCTTTAAAAATGCTAACAAGGAGAGACTAATAATTTTAAAGGATTTTCTCACCTCCTTATAGTTCATTTCCATTTATCAAGAATATCAGGTAAATGCAAATAATATATAAGATATTTCTAGAATCTTAGTAGCAGAACAAGAGGTGCAAAATAAGTTCTATTAATTTATCTGGAAACAAATCCAATTCAAATGTATGTCACAGCCAAGGCTTTTGAATTTACATGCCTACCTCACAACATAGGTCATAGCCCCAGGCAAATTATTACATTGTCAGCCATGTGACAAAAAGGGAGGAGAAAACTAGAGAGTATCTATTGTTTATTTTTTCTATAAATTACTGTAAACCCATTCCTCTATAAGAGTTGCTTGTATTTTGGACCACAGGAAAACTTAGCAGCAGGACTGTTTGCTCTGAAGACTATTAAAAAGAACATGCAGACTTTAAGGTAAATGAATATATAACCCATTACTTGAAATGAAAATTAAAACATGTAATATTCTGCATTTTTTTCCATCTGTATATAATTGACAGTGATATAGGGATATTAATTTTTTTCTTCTGAGAGTGCTTGCAGTTTTCTTGGCAAAGTTTTTCAGAAGTGATTTGCCATTCAGCTGGCTTTGTGCCTAAAGGCAAGACTAGAACTCATGACCTCCCAGGTTCTAACTTGGTGCTTTAACCATAATAACAAACTGGCTCTCATGAATGTTATAATGTTTAGATATTAATGGTTTTTATTATTTATTTTTATTAATGTATTTTCTGTTAGTCTATATTTCTGTTAGTATATATTGATGCTTGAAAATGATAACAAAAATATCCTAAGATTACTCTTACGGTTTCTGCTTGTTTAGATCTTTCCATTTCATTTTTTTGATGACCATGACAGTATATGTAATCCAGATGACATATGGTAAGTAAATTTATGCCATACAATTTTAATTGTCTCAGTCCATCAAAAGCTCCCCCTGTAAATTGATTTCTTGTAAAGCTTAACAAATGCAGTGTTGAGCCCCTGTTAGCCTTCCTTTTTTTAATGCAGAGCTTTTAGCCAGAATAGCTTCCCATAGGGTTAAAATACAAAACACTTAAGAGATGGGCTACTGGTCTCCAATAGCTAGAGACCCAGGAAATTGGGGAAAGGAAAACCAGTGTCTTCCCCCCACTCCCATCACACTTACTTTGGAAAAATTAGAAGTCTTGAATTTGTCCTTATTTTATATATATATTGGAGTGGGCACAAATGCAATGCTATCCACTTAAAAGTTATCATACATATGTTGAATCTTAAAAAGGAGCTCTAAACAACAACTTCATTATTTCATTGATAAAACTCATCAAAACTAGCTTAGGAAATGCATGAAATACTGCATATGTTTTCTTGATGTAACAAATCATCTAATAAAAACATAAGGGCTGAGTATGGTAGCCCTGGAAGGGCAAGTAGTATGGGCATTATTGAATTTTATGTGTTTCTTCTCTTCTAAAAGCTTGTGAGGGCGAAGACTGTGACAATGGTGCCCCAAGTTTGGAAAATAGGAATCATGCTTTGAAAACCTTGAATGTTCTCAATCAACTTAATTCTGAAAAGAGGAGGAACAATCCATCCAATGTTATACCTTTCATTGGGATCACAGATAGTAAGTTTTTGCAAAGTGTATAAACTGTTGTAGATTTTTATGTTTGGTTGTAAACCACCCAGAGAACTTCAGCTATTGAGCGACCTAAAAAAAAATAACATTACTAAATGTCCAGCTGGATCTTCTCAGGAGGAAAAACTTTAGGAAAAAGTTGTGATGCTTCAAGCACTTTTGCTCTCGGGTTCAAGACTGGGAGTTCTCACTTCTTACATTAATAACAATCTGTAAAGTAGATTGAGTTCATATAGTTATAAATCATGATTTCTTAAACCACAATTAAGTATGTTTATGAACTATGATCTAATAGTTAAGGTAGGTGTAGTATAAAGTTATTTGAGTCAGGATCTAAGTCCACCCCTAGTCTTGTAAATCCAGTAGGTATTTTCATGTAGGCCAGCCAATTTACAATGCTGTTTATGGGGAAAAAGAGTGCTGTATATGTTACCTGAATTCCTAAAAGAAAGATTGAATTTAATTCCATGTTACTAATAAACTAAGCTATGAACTATAATTTATATACCACAGCAGCTGGGTACAAGTAATAGTTTCATGTAAGATTAACACCTAATAAGTGACTGACCCAATTGTGTGTACTGAACTATGTAATTGAGGATTCAAACTTAGATTTACTTGATTTCTAGAGATACTCATTTCTGTTACTTTAGTAGCCAATGTTTGTCCATTGATATAAGCAGTATCCAATTATCTGGGAATTTTGTCTTGAACTGCACAATTTGTGTTAAGAACACAGTTTGAGAGGTTATATTAACTGAAAAGGTGTACCCTGTCATGTTATAATCCAAATTGTGATTACAACTGAGTTATATAAAATGGTATGTAACTTTACTGTGTATATTCTAGTTGGTATTAAAAGATGCTCTATCTAGTGGGTTTTATGCAGTTCAAACTGATTCTAATAAAGTTTTATATTAACTATACTACAATCAGAATTGGGAGGTGTCTTTAAATATTGTTTAATGCAACCCTTTTCCAACCGCATAAGAGCTACTAGAAAGAGCATCTCTTAATATCAACTATGCCTGGATTCACATATTGTGCAAAATCAAAAAAGCAGATTATAAATGTGGTTGTTTGGAACTATGTTATGAATTAATTCAATGTGTGAACCAAGCCTCAGTGTGAAATCTCTAGGAAAATTCAAGGAGGAGTAATACTCAGATAACTGATTAGCTGCTGCTTGACATCTTTTTAAAAGCGCTCCTAAAAACACTTTAATAATCAGATTGACTGATTCATAGAAATCAAGCAAAGTCATTAATCAATTATGCTAATCAAATATATTTTCTTTCAAAATAATATTGTCTCTGTATTAAATACACAAGGTTTAGATAATGTCAAGCTAATCTCTAATATATGTGCTTAATAAATTTCAATTTCCTAAAGGAAAAGTGTTACATAGAATGTTCCTTAGTTATTATAAAAGCTTCTAAAAAGTTGATTGCTTTCTAACTTCCATATAAAAATTGGAACTTTTTACGTTGACATCAATATTAACAGCAAGGCTGTTTGTTATCTATGATTTATACAGAATTTCTGAATTTTTAAAATATTTTGTATTCCAGCATTCTTCCATAAAAGGCCTAAGAAAAATTATATTGTACCTATTTTGCAAGGGAGAAATATAGCTGTTGAGATAATGACTTTCTCGATAAAAATGAATTTACAGATGAATAGGATTCGAAAATACATTCCCTGTAAACAATCTTTTTACACCAGCTTTCCACCTAGCTTATGCCTTCTATTATTTCTTGGACTGTAATTTTCAACATTTTCATCAAACCCAATGACCACCACTATATCTCTGAACAATAGTATTTGTAATGTAGCGCTTCTGGAGGTGGTCAGATTGGGAAGTTTGTTCACCTTATATTGATAAACACATAACATTTCCTAGCATTTCGAACCATTCATGGCATCTTCCATTGATTATTTTGTTATCTTTAGAATAGTAATGAATACTCTTTTCCTCCATTAGCTGCATGCCTTAATTATGTAATGAATTTATGAGCAACTTTGCTGCAATCCATGAGCACAGGATGCTTGATGGCCATTGCAACATGACATGCCATTCCTACAGTGTTAACAACTGGTGAGAATGGCTCCTGTTTCTGGATCTGAACTTTGATAAGTACAATCCTATGCAAACCATCACTGATGGCCAGCCAGGACATCACATAATCCTGAATTTATGTAACAATTGCTTGTGATGCTATTATATAGTATACCATCAGTAAAAAAAAAAAAAAGATAAGCGTCTATTCTGTAGATTAATTACAAGTTACTGCAGGTTTTGGGGATTTCTAATAAATTTGAAACCATCTGAAATCTTTACCCCCCCCCCTTTTTTTTTTTTTTTAAAAGAAACAGAACTCTGATGTTTTATAAGTTTAAATTTCTTTTCATGAATTAATATCCTCAAAACATTTTGGTAAATTTGATCCACAGTACAGCATGTCCAAAATTTCATAAAGTTTCTGAATTGTTCAGTTGATCCATACTGGACCACATGTTGAAATATGCATGTGGCTAGAATTTCTTCTACTATTTTTACCTGAGAATTAAACTTCTGTACAATCTCACGTAAATTCTAATCTTTTGTATAGAACACTCATAAAGAGTAACTCACTCTCTGTATTAGAAGACAAATCTACAGACCATAGCTTCCACAAACCTGGTTTGTCTTTGTTTTATAATGTATTTATTTTCAGTTTATGCATTAGAAATTTTTTTATCCCACCTTTATTACTTTAGAAGTAATTCAAGGCAGCAAACGTAAGTGATACTCCTTATTCCTCCCTTTTCTCCCACAACGACAACTCTGTGATGTGAGTTGGGCTGAATTGGGCCCAGAGTCACCCAGCTGGCTTTCATGTCTTAGGTGGCAGGACTAGAACTCACAATCTTCTGGTTTCCAGTCTGTCTTAACCACTAGACCAAAGTGGCTAATAAAATTAAAAAGGTCACTTAACTCTACAGTGGACACAGCAGAAGAGAAACTAGTGGACTTTCATCATATGTAGCAGCTTGCTATTTGTAGGACAGTAGTTTTTAAGAAGGTCTATTTTTTTCAAAGAAATTTGACATACTGTTTTATGATTTTCTCCCTGTTTATTTCTAGCAAGCAAATTGAGCAAACACTGCTGCAAAAATGGAGGAACTTGTTTCCTGGGAACTTTTTGTATATGCCCAAAACATTTCAGTGGGAGATACTGTGAATATGATACAAGGATTAGGTATGTAAAAGTTCTCTAGGATCCATCGAGCATTATGCTAGTGGACTTTTCCACACCCAACAATCACAAATAATCCTGTCTCTCTCTTCTTCCTTTCTTCCTTTTTCAAATCTGCTCCAGAAAAAGTGAATTGGGTGGAGGGAGAGCTGGAGAGGCACAGCATGTAAATAACATGTATCATTTGTCCTGGGGAATTTATTTATTGTATTTTATCCACTTTTTCTCTGTGTGAATTCAAGGCAACATTCATGGAGAAAAGACTTCCTTTAGATGAGTGTTTCCCAGGCTGGACAGCTTTTAAGATAAGTAGACTTCAACTCCTAGAAATCTGGGAGTTGAAATCCATCCATCTTAAAGCTGCCAAAGTTGAGAGACACTGATTTAGATAATACCTACAGTAATAACTCTTAAAGTAGATGATGCTGAGAAAAATGTACTTAGCTCAATTCATCCGGTGAGCTCTATAGTTAAATGGGATTTGCAATCATCTCTTCTGTTTAACTCTTGACTATTTGTATGTAAAACAAACATTATCTGACCTGATACCTCCATTATCCTTCAATTAAAATTCTCTTTATTTTCCAATAATCCACCAATTCAATTCTAATATACCTCTCAAAATTGAGCAACAAAGACTTTAATTATGAAGAGCAGCTCCGAAGGAAAGCGAATGTAGCATCTAACTTAGACATATTTTGGAGTTAAAAACCCAGGCGAACTTTTGAGTTTCCCTCTCACACTTTTTGATTTATTTTACTTTATTCAATTTGGATGCTGCTTGACTTCTAGCGACTGTTTGTTTCTTTGTATATGTTGTTGAATTCCTGTCAGTCCTATGGGTATTTCCTTTTTGCTTCAGAATAGAAAAGGCTCCCTTTTGTGATTTTATGGGGTTTTCTGAGAGCCTCTGGAACTCATTGCAAGCTCCTATTTACTAAAACCGTTGTGATTTCTTAGGAGTTGTGGTTCCCTCGGACACGGTGAGTGGTCTCAAGAAGAATGCCAATTATGTCGCTGTATTTATGGGACTATAGAATGCCTGCCTAATGTTCACAAGCAAGGATGTGGTAAGAAGCAATTGAATTATTACTCTGAAAGCTGAGCTGACTGAACTGCCAATTTCCTAATAGTTCCTTGTTCCTTTACTCAGTGCTTAAATTAAATTTCTTATGTCAGTGAAAAAGTACTTATGTGGAGTAAAGGGAGGGAAATAATTAAGAGGGAAGCTGAAATATCTGCATGCCACTGATAGATCAAAAATTCTAATTTCTCCTCCAGTTTTGTCTGTTAATTTAATGGAAAGAAAATATTAATTACTGACATTCTTCTCATTTAGAGTCTGCTGTTTCCAGATGACCTGGACATTCAAAGAGAGCCTTTAACTGTAAGTATTAGTTTTTATTGTCCTAAGACAGCATGGGCATAGAACAAGACTGCAGAGATAAAAACCTCTATCTGAAGACTTCATTTAAATAACATTAAGTGTCATTTAAGTATTTAAGCAGTTCAGCAGTTTGGAGTATTTAGCAGTTGAGAAATAGGACATATCATTGCTATATTTATTATATCCTGCCTTTCTTCCAGGATTTGATTTACCATAAGGCATCTAGCCTATGGACTTTTCTTCTAAACATCTCTTGATAACTGTTTTTTTCCTGACCTTTCCTCGTTGTCTTGACTTCATCTCATCCCCAGCTATCCTCTTTTCACAGCACAATTTTTGCTAGGAATGCAATCTGGCACAGATGATATGGTTGATCATGCATTTAAATTAAAAAGTACCCAGATCTGATGGTCACTTTTAGATGCGATAGGCCCACACCCCACTGCTACCATCCTGTCTCATGACCATGTTGGCTTCTTTGGGGCATGTACACACATCATGTCTGAGTGGCACTTTCTATAGCAATTATTGGATCTTCTATATTCTCTTCATATTCATGGATTCAGTGCTCTATTGAAAAGAATGTTGAGGTGAGCTATGACTTCTCTTATTTAACCATTCCCC